TAAGTCTGAGGTCTGTCCCATACAAGTATACCCTGCCAGGGTACTGACACAGATCTACGCCCTCCTAGAAGTCTGAGGTCCTGTCCCATACCAGTATACCCTGCCAGGGTACTGACACAGATCTACGCCCTCCAAGGTAAGTCTGAGGTCTGTCCCGTACAAGTATACCCTGCCAGGGTACTGACACAGATCTACGCCCTCCTAGGTAAGTCTGAGGTCTGTCCCTTACAAGTGTACCCTGCCAGGGTACTGACACAGATCTACGCCCTCCTAGGTAAGTCTTAGGTTTGTCTCATACAAGTGTACCCTGCCAGGGTACTGACACAGATCTACGCCCTCCTAGGTAAGTCTAAGGTCTGTCCCATACAAGTATACCCTGGCCGGGTACTGACACAGATCTACGCCCTCCTAGGTAAGTCTGATGTCCTGTCCCATACAAGTATACCCTGCCAGGGTACTGACACAGATCTACGCCCTCCTAGGTAAGTCTGAGGTCTGTCTCATACAAATATACCCTGCCCGGGTACTGACACAGATCTACGCCCTCCTAGGTAAGTCTGAGGGCTGTCCCATACAAGTATACCCTGCCAGGGTACTGACACAGATCTGCTCCCTGCTAGGTAAGTCTGAGGTCTGTCTCATACAAGTATACCCTGCCCGGGTACTGACAAAGATCTACTCCCTCCTAGGTAAGTCTGAGGTCTGTCCCATACAAGTGTACCCTGCCAGGGTACTGACACAGATCTACTCCCTCCTAGGTAAGTCTGAGGTCTGTCCCATACAAGTATACCCTGCCTGGGTACTGACACAGATCTACGCCCTCCTAGGTAAGTCTGAGGTCTGTCCCATACAAGTGTACCCAGGCCGGGTACTGACACAGATCCACGCCCTCCTAGGTAAGTCTGAGGTAACATAAAGGTATATCCCACCATTAGGGTATCGAGTGCCCTTTGATGTAAGATTAAACATCCACCAAGGGTTGGAATGGGTAATTGAATTTATTTTATGTTAATGGATTATGTATGAATTTATGTGAGGTTTGAATTAAAATACTGTCCTATGGAATCAATGAATATTGTTTGACTAATAATTATTAAAATCATGGTTTCTCTGAGCAGGCTAATATGAACAACAAATTATTTGATCAAATTTAATAGGTAATATGACCTAGATTAAAATATAGTCTTGTTTGTATTTAGGTAAAAATAAACGTCTTGGTTTAACTGGAAGACCATCCAATGAGATAGGGCTGTTGGCAACAAGTAAACTGTACATGTTACAGGACCAGATCCTCGCCTTCATTCCTCAGGTAACCATAACATACTATAGGTAAATATAACATACCACAACATATCACAGGTAACCACAACATACCACAGGTAACCACAACATCACACAGGTAACCACAACATACCACAGGTAACCACATCACACAGGTAACCACAACATACCACAGGTAACCACAACATACCACAGATAACTACAACATATCACAGGTAACCATAACATACCACAGGTAACCACAACATCACACATGTAACCTTAATATACCACAGGTAACCACAACATGACACAGGTAACTACATTATCACACATGTAACCATTACATACCACAGGTAACCACACCATCACACATGTAACCACAATATACCACAGGTAACCACAACATACCACAGGTAACCACAACATACCACAGATAACTACAACATATCACAGGTAACCATAACATACCACAGGTAACCACAACATCACACATGTAACCTTAATATACCACAGGTAACCACAACATGACACAGGTAACCATATTATCACACATGTAACCATTACATACCACAGGTAACCACACCATCACACATGTAACCACAACATACCACAGGTAACCACAACATACCACAGGTAACCACAACATACCACAGGTAACCACAACATACCACAGGTAACCACAACATACCACATGAAACCATGACATCTGACTAGAAACCACAACAATTCAGAGGTAACCACAACATACCAAAGATATCCATTACAATAACAGCCCACAAGTAATCATGGCATCTCACATGAAGCTTTAATGTCCTAAGGTAGACACAACATTTACCAGGTTACCAAATATCTCTGAGGTAGCCACACATGTACTGGTAACCCCAACATCCTACAGGTAACAATAGCAACCAACAGGTTAACATTAACAGTACACTCACCTTACCCACAGCTACTATGTGTATATTGTTTATATATATTTTCAGTTTACATCTGAAATTATCAAAATCTGAAATATTTTAACTCATTTTTCCGTCTGTTTTTCATCAGATATATGTGCAATGAGTAATCTTTTCACATTTTGATTGTTTGATTTAAAGTCATTTCATCCTTGCATGACACAATTACCATAATAATTGTCTTTGTTACACCTCAGTGAATTTCTAGCTATTTCATTGGTTGGGAGAAAATTAAACAAAGATCTCTGTCACCCTCCAAAAATACATTGGTTTTAAGCGGCTCGGGTGAAAATTATCACATGCCCGAAAAATGTGCGTTCACCGCTTCGTTTCCCCATCGTGATGGTCACAAGAACATTTGACGGCAACAGCCAATTTTATCAAGCGCCGGTGCGATAGCGATTGTAAACAGCAGACTATCAACAAACAAGATGTCATTATCGAGGTTTGCTGACGTTTCTGAGCTACAAAGACTTTTGGTGTAACAAAATAGATATGACATTCATTAGCAGGGGACAGGGAATATTGTCAACCCCCAAAAACCCATTGTCACTCTCGGCTTCGCCCAGGGTGACAATATTCACTGTCACCTGCTAATGAATGTCATATTTATATATCATGATCTTGCTGTAATCTTTTGCATACAGCATCCAAACATTAACTTACTTGGTTGAATTTTAATGTTGAAGTTACTAACCTAATATATTGAGCTTGCGATGAAGACTAATTTCAGGAGGTCAGACTCATGCTTCAGCAACAGTTTGATATAACACTGTATAGACTGACATCACTTTTAGAGTAGCCACTGAAATACCTAAAAATCATCTGTATGATATCATCTCAATAACAATCCTAAACTTTGAACTAGATTGGTATTTTCTGATGATTATTGCTGGTGTACTCTACTATTGTAGAATTTGTCTTTGTTATTCTATTTTATCTGGTGTACTCTTCTATTGTAGAAACTGTCTTTGTTATTCTATTTTATCTGGTGTACTCTTCTATTGTAGAAACTGTCTTTGTTATTTATTTTTATCTGGTGTACTCTTCTATTGTAGAAACTGTCTTTGTTATTTATTTTTATCTGGTGTACTCTTCTATTGTAGAAACTGTCTTTGTTATTCTATTTTATCTGGTGTACTCTACTATTGTAGAATTTGTCTTTGTTATTCTATTTTAACATACAGTGTTAACAATTAATTGTTAGGTTGAGTTTTAAAGAGTAAATATTGAGGATTTACAATATTTTGTTTCTACAACAGCTCATTATTTGCTTTTATGACTAATACCAACAAAACTATTTGCATTGAAATGTTTGTGCTCCCTTTTCTAATTCTCCTTTTCATTTAGATTCACTATTACAATTTGACATGTACATAGTTTCTGATATTAACCAATCATCCCCATATGTTGTTGTATTAGGCTTCCTGATATTAACCAATCATCCTCATATGTTGTTGTATTAGGCCTCCTGATATTAACCAATCATCCTCATATGTTGTTGTATTAGGCCTCCTGATATTAACCAATCATCCTCATATGTTGTTGTATTAGGC